CGCAGAGGAGCACTGGACGGATGCAGTGCCATCTCATGTGTGCCGGGGACCGCAGGAGGACGCGGACGCGCAGCACGACGACTAGCGCGAGCAACACGAACAGGCGACGCAGGACGAGACGCAGGCTCACGACACTCAGCAAGATCTCCAGTAGGACCAGTGTAGGGAGAAGGAGCAGGTAGTGGGGAGGCGGGGTGTAACTATGACTGCGACTAGACAGGCTGTGGACACTCTAAGGGAGGAGCGGGACCAGGAGAGGGAGGGAGACCAAGAACCTGCTCCAGGAGCGGAACGAAGTACGGCCTCGGCCGCTCAGTGCCTCCAGAACCAGCAAGGACGGCACCTGTACCCCCAACGGCAGCACTAGCGCCAACAGGACCTCAAGCTCCAACAGCGCCAAGTCAAGTACCCTCAGAAGCACCAGCGAGAGCAGCACCGCCAGCACCAACACCCCCAGCAGCTCCAGCTCCAGCAGCACCAACTCTAGTACGACCGTCAGCACCAGCAGCCTCAGCCGCACCCCCACACGCACCAGCACCAGTAGAAACACCAGCGCCAACACCCCCAGCAGCTCCACCTCCAGCAGCACCAGCACCGACAGCAGCTCCAGCAGCACCCCCAGACTCAGCACCACGTCCCCAGTGGCGGGCGAACCACTCGCGCAGCTCCTGTGGAGAGAGCGGCTCCCGCCTCGACGAAGCACCGCCGGCGGCCACACGAGCAGACCCAGCACCCCAAGGCTCCGCACCCTCAGGCTCAGCACCCCCAGGCTCAGCTCCCCCAGACTCAGCACCCCCAGGCTCAGCACCTCCAGTCTCAGCTCCCCTAGACTCAGCACCCGCAGACCCGGCACCCGCAGACCCGGCACCCGCAGGCTTAGCACCTCTAGCAGCACGAGAGTCAACAGTTACCTCGACAGGCTCAACTACGTCTACCTGGGACACACCTGAAGGGGCCGGACCCTCAGGAGGGAGGGGGTCTACCTGGGTAGCACCTGGCGCTAGGAAGAGCGGCGGCGGGGGGAGGGGCGCAGTGCGGTAGGGGAAGAGACGGTAGTAAGGCACCGACTTGTCAAAGGTGACGTCATGGGAGGACAGAACACGGGGCGTGGTAGGGTGGTAAAACCGCCAGCCACGCGCCTCGGGGGGGAAGCCAAGGAAGACGCAAGGAACAGCACGGGGGGACAGCTTGTCCGCAGACAAGTCGCGGACAAACGCCCGAGATCCCTAGACTCGAAACGCAGACGCATCACCAACCGTCCCTGTCCACCGCAAGGCGGGGGAGGTCTCTGGCAAGGAGACCCGGGGCTGAAGGTTGAGCTGATGCGCTGTGTATCGAACCACAAACGGCCACAGAAAATTGGGGGCAGCCGCATGCATCATGGACGTACCAGCGACGTCCATGACCATGCCAATGCGGCGCTCAGCAATCCCATTTTGCTGTGGAGAGGCCGGAAGCGTGAAGGTCTGGCGGATGCCCTGTGCCCGACATAAGGCTCCCAAACGAGCAGAGGAAAACTCCCCGCCTCTGTCCGAGTGCAGACGCAGAACACGAAAGTCCGAGCCAAAACTCTCTCTGAGCTGGAGACGAGCTGCGCGGATCCAGTCAATCAACACCTCAGTGACGTCACCCTTGCTGCGCAAGGGGAAAACTAGGGTGTAACGCGAGTAGTCGTCAACGACCAGCAGAAAGTACCGCTCTCTCCCCTGCCCACTAACGCGGGCTAGGCCCCACACGTCCATGGGTAGAGTCTGCAGCGGAGCCTCTGTCGGAGGAAAATCGGAGGAGTGAGGGGCGGCGCGCTGTCGCCCCTCGACACAGGGGACGCAGATAGGACCAGGCCCCGGAGGAAGGGGAGGGAGAGACCGAGGAAGACCAGAGACAAGGACACGGGAGGCCATGCCTCGGAGACGAGGCAAGGAGGGGTGACCAAGGCGGTGGTGCCAAAGGAGAGTCTGGTGGGACAGCAGACGACACGAGCAGGGGGCAGATTCAGGACCAGACCTGGACGCCACGGCAAACACCTAACTTGACGCAGCTACCTGGGCAGACTCAGCATCCGGAGGAGACTCAGCAGTAAGGGTGTACAGGCTCGACCCTGGCCGACGGGTGAACGTGGCCAAGTGTCGGCCTGTCCGAGCACACGTGCAGTGGGTCACTCGCTGACTCGCAGGAGTGAACTGGTCAACCCCTCGATCCTTTAGGTCCACTCCACTCACCAAGTTCGTTGAGAACGAGGGGAGGTACAGACCAGACAGGGTGCCAGAGGGGGCTGGAGGGCACGGAAGGACAGTGGAGAATCTAGCAAGGACAGGACCCCCAGAGGGGTATGCCAGGGAGACTGCAACCGACCGACTAAGCGGCGTAAGAGTGGTGCGGTCTCGAAAGAAGGAGCGGGACGCACCCGAGTCCAGGGTGAAGGTGTGGAAGGCCTGAGCTGACGCGGTACTTGAGAGGGCAGACTCACCAGCACCTGGGGCAGCAGATGCACTAGCACCTAGAGCAGCAGACTGGATACCGGGGTCAGGCGGCACACACAGGTGACAGACTCCCTCGGCACTAGTAGACATTGCATACATTGCAGTGAGAATAGCATCATAGTCCAGAGCAAAGATATTTACCCTCTACCTAAGGAGCTCCAACCAGTCAGGGAGCTCAGCGTCGTCGCCAAACTCAGTACGCCAAGCGACGCTCAGACGCGCGAAGCAGCGGGACTCTGTGTGACTACGCGTCCCGCAAGTCTGACCAGTCCGGACACCCGTGCTAATAACGTACGGACAACGAGCACTACTCAGCGACCCTCCACTCGGAGCGTACCACTCCGAAGCTGCTGGGGTGAAAGAGTCTCGCGCGGAGAACGCTGCTGCTGCACCGGGCCACTACAGAAAACCCTCAAACTACCCACTCCAAGACGACTCCCACTACTGCCACTCCGACAACCCCAACTGGTGTACCACTCACGAGGCTGTTGGGGGATGAGGGACTTACGCGGGCGACGCTGGAGCTGCATCTGGCCACGCCAGGAGCAGCAGTAGCAGAAGAAAGAGCGGCAGTAGTAAGAGCTGCAGTACCACTAGTACAGGCTGGGCAGTGCAGTGGCAGAGACTGTGCTCTTACCGGGTAGGTGGGGCGAACGGGCTGCCCGGCGGCTCGGCTATCGGGCGGATCGGCTGCAGGGCGGCTCGGCTGCTGGGCGGCTCGGCTGCTTGGCGGCTCGGCTGCACGGTGCTGGGCGGCTCGGCTGCACGGTGCTGGGCGGCTCGGCTGTCGGGTGGCTAGGCTGCTGGGCGGCTCGGCTGCTGGGCGGCTCGGCTGCTGGGCGGCTCGGCTGCTGGGGGGCTCGGCTGCACGGTGCTGGGCGGCTCGGCTGCTGGGCGACTCGGCTGTCGGGCGGCTCGGCTGCTGGGCGGCTCGGCTGTCGGGCGGCTCGGCTGCTGGGCGGCTCGGTTGCTGGGCGCCTCGGGCGATCGGGCGGCTCAGCTGGCCGGCGGTTCGGCTGCTCGACGTTGCTGGCGCTGGGCGGCGGGGTCGCAGGTGGTGGCGAGGTCGCAGATGGCGGTGGGGCCTAAGGTGGCGGCTGGCCGCAAGGGTGGGCGGGGCCGCGGTTGCGACGGGGCCGAAGTGGGCGACGTAGCGGGGCCGTGACAGGGCCGTAGCGAGGCCTAAGCGGGGCCGTAGCGGGGCCGACGGGGCCGAAGCGGGGCCTAAGTGGGGCCGACGGGGCCGAAGAGTGGCCTAAGCGGGGCCGTAGCGGGGCCGACGGGGCCGAAGCGGGGCCTAAGCGGGGCCGTAGCCGGGCCGATGGGGCCGAAGCGAGGCCTAAGTGGGGCCGTAGCGGGGCCGACGGGGCCGTAGCGGGGCCGGCGGGGCCGTAGCGGGGCCGTAGCGGGGCCTAAGCGGGGCCGACGGGGCCGAAGTGGGGCCTAAGCGGGGCCGACGGGGCCTAAGCGGGGCCGTAGCGGGGCCGTAGTGGGGCCTAAGCGGGGCCGACGGGGCCGACGGGGCCGTAGCAGGGCCGTAGCGGGGCCGACGGGGCCTAAGCGGGGCCGACGAGGCTGTAGCGGGGCCTAAGCGGGGCCGTAGCGGGGTCGACGGGGCCGTAGCGGGGCCTAAGCGGGGCCGTAGTGGGGCCGCGACGGGGCCGTAAGCGGCCTAAGCGAGGCCGTAGAGGGCGGCTCGAGGGGCAGTAAGGGCGGCCAACAGGGGCCACTAAGGCGGCTCGAGGCGCTACTTGGGTAAGGAGCTAAGCTCGCTACGGTCAGGGAAGGAAAAAAAAGTTTGTGGTGGGCCCTAATCAGTATTCCCACTCGGGAACCTACTCGATACCATGACAAGAAGTGAGAATGGAAAATGGATGAACTATGAAACAGTTGGGTACAAGTGCTAACCCTACTTAGGTTGTACCCCTTATGGGCTACCCCACTACAGCCTACACAAATGTATAAGTTCTAATGTTCTGACACATAGGGTACGTCGAATATGTTATCCCTAGGTCTTGCTCTCGAAGATGCAGCTTCAGTATCAGTTTTCAACTGAGAAAGGTTAGAAGGATTTATTCGAGGCCGATTCGGCTTCTCTTGGGCCTGGAACCTTCCACTAAGCCTTTGCAGCTGTGTAGGCTTCATCTGTGGGGAACAGGGAGCCTTTAAACAGTGCTGCTGGGAGAGAATATTAACTCCTCGGAATGCTCGACCCGTATTAGCGATCTCGAGTAGGGTCCCCATAATACCCGGTACCGGTTTCAATTTCTGACTCTCCCTTAATATAGGCTTGAAACCCACAATAAGTAATCTTCTTACTTGTCGGGGTATACGGCTGGAGTTTCCCGGTCGGTGCCGGGTCTTGTTTCGCGGATCCTCCATTAGTCTCGACGATTTCCCCTGGTGCCGGCTGGTCATGACGTTTTAAATTTGAGCAACCATATTCTCCTTTTTTCGCCCTCTCCGAAGTTGCCACGTTGTCCGTTTTCTGCTTCGGGGGTGTCGCACTGTTCTTGTCCTTCAACCCCGCACTCCTCTGCGCAGAGCCGTGACCAGCTCCACCGCCGCCGCCGCCGCCTCCGCCACCTCCGCCGCCTCCGCTCCCTCCGCCACCGCCGCCGCCTCCACCGCCTCCACTGCTGCCACCGACACCTCCACCCCCGCCACCACTCCCACCACCACCTCCACCCCCTCCACTGCCTCCACCACCACCTCCACCGCCCCTGCCAGCCCCTCCAGCGCCCTTGCCCCCCTTTCCCTTGCCGGTGCGGCGTCTCCCGCTCGAGGCAGACGCAGCGCCGACCGACTCGAAACCAACGAGGTCGGCCGCAGCAGCAGAAGCAACAGAGGGCAAGAGGGGGGAGGGGGAACACCCCTCAAAGACGGAGGTGCGAGGGTCACCACGAGAGGCTCCTACAGCGACTATAATCTTTTCTGCTGCTAGGAGGCGCTCCTCGAGGAGGTCAACGGTGAGTGTGGTGGGGCAAACAGAGAGGTAGTGGTCCGTGACTAAGCGAAGGGAGTCAGGGAGCCGGGTGACTATGTAGTAGAGGATGATGTACATGGGGGGGGGGGGGGGGGTTCTTGGCGCAGAACTCAGCACGAAGCGCAGCGCGGTAGCGAGTGTCACTAGTGCGAAGGTGCGTAATGAGGTCAGCGACTGTGAAAAAGGCAGCAAGGTTAGGGAATAGGTACGGCAGCATGAGGCGGCTAAGCGCAGCAGTGGCAGGGAAGGAGTAGCGTGCAACTACAGCGTCGTACAAGGTCTTAGCACTCTTGTACTGGCTAAAGTGCGCACGCTCAGTGGTCGGTAAGTGGCGACGCACAGCAAGGCTTGCAGCAGCATCGCGTTTGGCCCACTGTGAGCGAACAGTGCTGTCAGCAGTAGAAGGTGGGGTAGGAGAGGCACCAGAGGTGAGATTGAATAGGGAGAGTCCGTCTTCCCTATCGCACTGTAGGAGCAGCTGGAGGTCATCGACCCAGACCTCAAAGTCAACAGCACGACCCTCAGCATCAAAGGTAAGGACACTGGGGTTAGCCATGACTGCAGTGGCTTAGCAAGGACTGATCTCACCAGTCCGAGTAACTAGGGCCGGGGCGCGCCGGTAGGAAAATTAGTGGCTCGATGGCATGGCGGCTCGGCGGCTCGGCTGCTGGGCGGCTCGGCGGCTCGGTTGCTGGGTGGCTCAGCGGCTCAGCTACTGGGCAGCTCAGCGGCTCGGCTGTTGGGCGGCTCGGCTGCTGGGCGGCTCGACGGCTCGGTTGCTGGGCGGCTCGGCAGCTCGGCTGCTCGGCGGCTCGGCGGCTCGGCTGCTGGGCGGCTCGGCTGCTGGGCGGCTCGGCGGCTCGGCTGCTGGGCGGCTCGGCTGCTCGGTGGGTCTGCTGCTCAGCTGCTGGGCGGCTCAGCGGTGAAGGGGCCGGTAGAGGCGGCGACGGGGCTGGTAGAGGCGGCGACGGGGCCGGTAGAGGCGGCGATGGGGCCGCTAGGGGCGGCGACGGGGCCGCTAAGGGCAGCGAGGTGGCCGCGAAGGGGCGGCGACGGGGCCGCTAGGGGTGGTGACGGGGCTGCAGAGGGGCCGCAAGGGGTCTAGAGGCGTGGCATTGGGGCCGCAACTGGCGGCGCCGGGGCCGCGAAGGGGCCGCGAGGGGCCTAGAGGGGCGGCGACGGGGCCGTGAAGGGGCCGCGAGGGGCCTATAGGGGCGGCGACGGGGCCTAGAGCGGCGGCAACGGGGCCGTGAAGGGGCCGCGAGGGGCCTAGAGCGGCGGCGACAAGGCCTAGAGCGGCGGCGACGGGGCCGTCAAGGGGCTGTGAGGGGCCTAGAGCGGCGGCGTCGGGGCCGTGAAGGGGCTGCGAGGGGCCTAGAGGCGGCGACGGGGCCGTGAAGGGGCTGCGAGGGGCCTAGAGCGGCGGCGACGGGGCCGTGAAGGGGCCACGAGGGGCCTAGAGGGGCGGCAACAGGGTCGCTAAGGACAGCGACGGGGCCGCTAAGGGTGGCGCGAGGGGCCTCTAGGAAGGCGCGACGTGAGGGCGGCCTACGGGGCACGCCTCGGGCAGGAAAAAAAAAGATCGAGTTAGGTGGTGGGCCCTGAGAAGCGTTCCCACGAGGGAACCTGCTCTATACCACGTGAAGAATGAGGAATGAATGAACTAGCACAAGGTTGGGTACAAGTAGGAAACCCTAGGAAACTGTACCCCATAGTGTCCACGCCACTATAGCCTAGACAAGCTATATGATATAAGTTTGAAAGTAATAATGCCCGCAGGCCATGTCAAACATCAAGGCCTGCAAGTAATTCGACCTAGTTTTGTTCAATCCGCCATCTCTTTCTTATTTTCATTGTTTTAGTTTCTCATTTCTCTTGCGTGGTCTTCTTCAGTCCTTCTCCGTATGATAATCTAAGGTTGCAGAAGATCAGTACATAGCTTGTAAAACGTTGTGATAATATTCTCTGATTCTTGTTTGCAACTTTAAATCTTGTTACGAATAGTGGTTAATTAAAAACACTGTTGCGCACTCCTCACCGTAGCAAAATCGAAGCACGCACTATCGAAAGTGAAGACAAAAAGGCAGAAGAAAGGCGAAGGGACAGACGGTTACGAGGAGCATCTGGACCGTTGGGCAGACAGCATCAGGCAGCAGCAGTGGCGAAGATTCTGCACGAACAGTTACGTAACCACTCAGAGTCGCACGGTTGGATTTCGCTGCAATAAGGGAATGTACCCCTTAGAGTACATGGCTAGTTAGGTCGTTTTGAATTCCCCTGTACTCATATTTATATTCCTTGTACTGCACATTTTTATCATCTCAAGCATTTACATTCACTCTGCTATTGAGGTCAAGGGCCCACCACCACTAGACTAGAATTGTGCGAACCTTCCTGAGGTGATCCTGGTTACGATCACTTCCTGATTTCAACATGGTATGAGAGCGACTCAGGAATACTTCGTGACGAGAAGGGAGAATGGATGAATGAACTATGAAACAGTTCGGTACAAGTACTAACCCTAATTGGGTTGTACCCCATATGGGCTACCCCACTACAGCCTACACAAATGTAGAGGCTATAAAGTTCTGACACACCCCCATGGGCAAAGTGGGGGAGAACAAGTGGTCACAAGACCAGTCGAGCAAAGCAAAGCAAAGCAAGCTCAGGGTGGATCACAAAGTCACCACACAGTCCGAGCACAAGAGTAAGGCCACAAGGCCAGTTCACATGCAAGAACATACATATAAAGGTAAAACAAGCAAGGGCAGGTATAGAAAGAATACAGTACAAACAAGATCAAGAAGTGAGCAAGTGAGGCCAGGTAGGCACAAGACCTAGCACGTGTGTCCCGGGTGATCTGCAAGCCAAGGCAGCTGCGCAGTTCACCCAGGTCTGTGCACGTGTGTCTCTTCTACAGCTCGGACTTCACGTGGGCGAGTCCAGCAGTGTCAGCGGTGGCAAAGACCAAGTCCTCGACGTACACGAGGATGTAGAACGGCGGCAAAGAGGTGTCGGTGCGTAGAAACAGCGACGGGTCGGCTGTAGAAGGAGCGAACCCAAGAGCCGCAAGTGTAGTCCTCAGTGTGTCGTGCCACTCACGGGGCGCCTGGTGGAGACCGTAGACTGGCCACCGGAGGCTCCACTGGGTACCAGGAGGAAACGACCCAGTGAAGCCAGGAGGGCGGCGCAGCCAGATCTCCTCGTTCAGGCTGCCCTGCAGGAAAGCTTTGCTGAAGTCAAGAGAGTGAAGCTCGTAGTCGCGCTGAGCGGCTATGTGCAGCAGCACCCGAAGAGTGGTCATCTTCGGGGTGGGAGAGAAGGTCTGAAATTAGTCAACTCCCTGCCACTGGCTGAAGCCTCGAGCCACGTAACAGACCTTGAAGACAGGCGGAGAGCCAGGCGGCCGCTTCACCCTGAAGATCCACATCCCACTGACGATGTTCGCCCCAGGTGGGGGAAACTCGTCGACGTAGGTGCCTGTGGACTTCCAGGAAGCCATCTCTGCGTCCATGGCCGACTGCCACTGAGAGGAGTAGGGACCCTCGATCGCCTTAGCGTACGATCGAGGAGTCAGGATGTCTGGTGCATCCGGGTCTCCCTCAGGGGCAATTAGCGTGGACACGAGATGGGGCAAAGCAGCTGCAAAGCACTGGAACTCCTCCTCCCTGTCCTCAAGGACGTCCGTGCTAAGAGCACACTCACCCCCGACGAACGGAGGACAAACAGACTCAGACTCAACAACATGACTGGCAGCGTAGTCTAGACGACAACGAGCAGCGAAGTCGACAAGCTCAGAAACTAGAGCAGACGCAGCAGTGGACTCAAAGGTAGGGTCAGTGACAACAGTAGCAAGAAGACGCGTGACCGAAGGACTAGCAGCACGAAGGGAGTCAGACTCTGGGTCAGCAAGAGAAGGAAGAGAGGACTGTGGAGGAGACGGCAGAGGGACACGCTGCGGAGCAGTGGAAGGACGCAGTGCTATCTGGTGTGTGCCTGGGACCGAAGGAGGACGCGGACGCGGAGTACGACGACTAGTGCGAGCAGCACAAACAGGCGACGCAGGACAAGACGCAGGCTCACGACACTCAGCAAGACCTCCAGTAGGACCAGTGTAGGGAGAAGGAGCAGGTAGGGGGGAGGTGGGCTGTAACTGTGACTTCGACTGGACAGGCTGTGGACACTCTAAGGGAGGAGGGGGACCAGTAGAGGGCGGGAGACCAAGAACCTGCTCAAGGAGCGGAAAGAAGTACGGCCGCGGCCGCGCAGTGCCTCCACAACCAGCAGGGACAGCACCAGTACTCCCAGTGGCAGCACCAGCATCAGCAGCACCTCCAGCTCCAACAGCGCCAACTCCAGCACCCTCAGACGCACCAGCGCAAGCAGAACCACCAGCGCCAACACCCCCAGCAGCTCCAGCTCTATCAGCTCCAGCTCTAGTAGCATCAACTCCAGCAAGACCGGCAGCTCCAGTACCGCTATTAGCTCCAGTAGTACCTCCAGCAGGACCAACTCCAGCAGACCCAGCAGCACCCCCAGTCCCAGCGGCTCCAGCACCGCCAGTACGAGTACCTTCGGGACCAGCAACAGTAGTACCTCCAGCTCCAGCAGCACGGCTCCAGCGCTGGGCAAACCATTCGCGCAGCTCCTGCGGAGAGAGCGGCTCCTGCCTCGATGAAGCACCGCGAGAGGCCACACGAGCAGACCCAACACCCCCAGGCTCCGCACCCCCAGTCTCAGCACCCCCAAGCTCAGCACTCCCAGACTCAGCACCCCCAGGCTCAGCACCCCCAGACTCAGCACCCCTAGGCTCAGCACCCCCAGGCTCCGCACTCCTGGACGCAGTGCCATCCGGTGTGTGCCGGGGACCGCAAGATGACGCGGACGCGCAGCACGACGACTAGTGCGAGCAGCACGAACAGGCAATGCAGGACGAGACGCAGGCTCACGACGCTCGGCAAGACCTACAGTAGGACCAGATTAGGGAGAAGGAGCAGGTAACGGGGAGGCAGGCTGTAACTGTGACTGCGACTGGACAGGTTGTGGACACTCTAAGGGAGGAGGAGGACCAGGAGAGGGCGGGAGACCAAGAACCTGCTCCAGGAGCGGAACGAAGTACGGCCTCGGCCGCTCAGCGCCTCCAGAACCAGCAGGGACGGCACTAGTGCCCCCAGCGGCAGCACCAGCTCCAGCAGAACCTCCAGCTCCAACAGCCCCAACTCCAGTACCCTCAGAAGCACCAGCGCCAGCAGCACCCCCAGCGCCAACACCCCCAGCAGCTCCAGCTCCAGCAGCACCAACTCCAGTAGGACCGTCAGCACCAGCTCCCTCAGCAGCACCCCCAGATGCACCAACCCCATAGAAACACCAGCGCCAACACCCCCAGTAGCTCCACCTCTAGCAGCACCAGCACCGACAGCAGCTCCAGCAGCACCCCCAGACTCAGCAGCACATCTCCAGCGGCGGGAGAACCACTCGCGCAGCTCCTGTGAAGAGAGCGGCTCCCGCCTCGACGAAGCACCGCCAGCGGCCACACGAGCAGACCTAGCACCCCCA